ACAGAAAAATATAGGAAGTGTTTAACCATGATGGATACATTTAGAAAAATGCACACGTGGGTCCAGACAAATCTTACATGCTACATACCTGGCCTGCTGCTACTTTCAGTGCTTGCAGACTGAAGTCTAATGAAAAATGCTATCCTTACATAATAATCATTGTATTTTTTTGGCTGGACGACAGAAACAATTGAGTACTGTCCGTGATACTTTTTTTATTTGCACCAACATACAATTTTGAGGACAAGCTTTCGGGGTATGTCCCCTTTTTCAAGGTCCGAGCAGTACTTTGGCTGGGCGACAAAGCCAGATTTCACAGGCAGATTAAATTGGTATGGCAAGCTTTAGTGAGAAAATGGTGCTGTCAAAATAAAGTTACTGTACATCAGCATGTCTTCTCATTAGGAATGTAAAAGTTGTGGATTGCTATTATATTTATATTTTTTCACAGATTTGTAGAAATTGAGAAACAATTATCTTGTTTGCTCTGTGTTTCTGATTTATGCAATAAGTTTTAGCTGAGCAGAGAAAAGTATGGACTAGTTTTTTTTTTTTTTGTTTTTTTTTTTACTTTATTGTATGCATGTAGACCTGGCAAGGTCTGGTATCTGTGACTTATACAAAATAAGGCGATGTAAGATCAGCATTCTTGCAAAAGTAGAGCTGTTTTGTTTCAAAGTTTTTTTTGGCTATATTTTTCCCATGGGCCACAGGAGTGCAGTTAGCTCTGGCTAACATCAAAGAGCAGGTCCAAGCTTTGAAAAGATCTGGACCATATGGTCGGTATTTATTTATTTGTTTATTTATTACAGGTACTTGTATAGCACCATCAATCCACCCTGGAGCCTGGATCGGCACTTCGCTCAGCCTCTCAGAGATCCGCCGAAAACTGGAGACGGCCGTTTCCACCCCCTCCATAGCCCCGTGCTCCAGTGAGATCTGGAGGGGCAGAGCTGAGAGCCGGTGACTGACAGTCATTAGTCCTCTGCAGGTTGAGGACTGAGAACAATGGTTTTCTCCCACATTCCAAACACATGCTGGTGGGTTAATTGGCTCCTGTGCAAATTGGCCCTAAAATGTGTGTATGTAAGTTACAGACCTTAGAGCAGCCTTTCTCAACCTTTTCAACGCAGAGGAACCCTTGATATAACTTTTCGGTCTCAGGGAACCCCTGCTAAAATTACTATATCTACAATTCATTATATATTAGTGTTATAGTCAGAGGTAAGAATGTTCCTTACACTTCTGGTTATTGGGAAGAATTACCCCCTTACAGACTGCTAAAAAGATAAATGGTGTCAGTGGGAACTTACCTGAGAGGCAAAAAATGCTCATTGCTCAAGGAATCCCTGGCATCCTCTGGAGGAAACCTGGTTGAGAAACCCTGCCCTTAGAGTGTAAGCTCCTCGAAAGCAGGAACTGATAAGAATGTACAGTATTTATAGCACTCCATATTTGTTGGTGCTAATAACTATAATAAATCAATACATTTTTTCTGGGGCAACTTTTTTATTACATTTTATAAGATTGATTCAGTATCAGCCATTGTCTATGGTACTATGATGATACATTGTGCAATATAGGTTTTGTTTCAACTTTTTCAACCCCAAAAAAAAAAGACTACTATATTTTGGTACACCCCCCTATGAAAAATGACAGATTGCTGTCATTTGCATCATAAGAACAAAACATTTTCTTCTGTGGTTCAGGCTCTTTGGTTTATAGTGGGCAGAACGTCTATAATGCAGCTTTGGAGACTGGAATCATGTAAATGGCACAGTTAGGATGTACTATTAGTTGCTCCCTTTGTTGGCTTGACTATTGTTAGAATTATATTACAAAGTCTTCCAGTGAAGGCAATATAAACAAAATAAACATATAACGACACAACCCTACATCTACCATTAAAATTAACCTTAAATGATTAACAGGATTTCATGTACTTGAAATTATCGTTAGCAATTTTAAAATTAAATGTCATACTATTGTATAGGAATCTAAACAGCCCCAAAATCTTTGGATGCACTGTAACATGTTTGTTGTTGTACATTATATATCTACATCTACTGTTAACGTTCTCCTGAAAAAGCTAATGTTGTTCATGAAACACGTTGACAAAAATCTGGGTCCAAGAGATCTTGGAAACATTCAAAATATTACTGTGCCAAGTTTGGCAAAATCTAGGACCCATGGATGACATATTGCCATTCAAACATTACTGCCTAAAAAGGGCTGCTATTATGTCAACCATTGATGATGTGTGAAATCCTCTGCGTTGTGCCCTTTCCTTCCCTTGTCTCTCCCCCATCTCTTTATATAGTCTCTTCTTTCCCCCTCTCTCCTCTGTCTTTCCCACACCCCCTGTCTTAATTAACCCTTACTGTATGTGAATTCCATAAACTATTCTTGTACCATCTGTTGGCCGCATATGTGCCTTCACCTTTTGAATGGATCTAATTGTTGAGCACAAGGTAGTTAACTCTGCTCTTTTGTTTGAGCATTTTGTAATTAATTTGTGAACACCATGGCACTATTCGCTGTAGATATGGTACCGTTTATGGAACTCACGTTCTAAGTATACATACTTGTACGCTCTGTTGTTATTCAATTTTGAAAATTCAATAAGTACACTGAAATGAAAATATCAATGTGCATAATAATGATGGATAACTGGAATCATACCCTGAAAGAACTAACAATCTTTGTGCATGGTTTATGTATCCTGAACCATTTTGAATGGAATTATCACCTGAAATATGTGATTTTTCTCTTCTTTCTCTAAAAATTGCAATTTTATGATATATGATGAAAAGCTATGAATTTTAGATTTTGTTCTAATCTAGAATAATTATGCAGTACTTATTTTTCCCATTTACCACTACATTTTCAAGAATTACCATATAAGGGATGTTGTCTCTTAGACCTGGTTCACATTGGCATACTTAAGTGTACACCCATGTGAGGCCCATGTTTGCCCATATGGGATGCAATGGTGTTCTGTGAATCCACGTGCAGGCAGTACTATTTGTGTCAAATGGAATGCAGCAGCTGCACGGACACAGCTATTGCTCCCAATTTGACCCTGAACTCACACTGTCTACAATCGGTAGCATGTACCCGCACCCACATGGATAGCAAATTGGAAGCAATGTCGGTGCAGCCACTGTGTCCCAACTTATGTGAATGGGACTTCCTGCACATGGATTCACGGAATACCTGTGTATCCCGCGAGGGCAAACATGGCCTTTTTACACGGATGTATGCTTAAGTACGCCTTTGTATGAACTAGGCCTAGGTCTGTTAACTTTGGGGTCTAAACTTTCTATTACTTCAACATTTAGAGTCTGAAGCTTTTATGAAACTAATATTTAGTGATCCTGCATGAAGGTCCTTGTTCATAACTTTGCTGTTACATGGTGACAACTCCCTGCCGCTGTTCCCAGGTGTGCTCCTATGTTGTCAGCCTGTCACAAGTGGTCATTTTTTTTCCAATAGTGTTTATTGAAATAATTTCAAACAGAGTACAAAAATGCAGAAGTGGGTATAAAAAAAACAGTGCAGTCATAAATAGTGCCACATGTGGTAATTTCAACGCACATTACCCTGTCTCTCCCCCATCTCATTGTCAACATCAGGAAGGCCAAATTGAAAAATGCCATGCAGCCATCACAGAAGTGCATGTATGAAGACAAGAAATGGCTTCAAAGAGTGTGCAGGAGATCAGCATCACTGAGATGCAAAAGGATGAAACCACACATTTTATTTTTTAAAACCAAGCATTCTATTTTTTTTTAAATTGCTTATGGTACGTAGTGCTGATCTGACTAAATGTTATTCACTTAGGGTGCATGTCTACTTTAAAATTGTGTACAGCATTTTGTTTAATTGAACATAATCCTTGTTTTGTATTTTGCAATTGTCTGGAGTTCTCCCTTAGTCTTTACAATACTTTTAGCATGTTAGCATACTTTTGCTTGTGCTATTTATCTTTTTTTATTTTATCTATTAACATTCATGGACTGGCCACAGTATTTAAATGTTCTGTACCATGAGAGGGAGAAATATAGATCAGAAATGTAAATCATACTAGATAAACATTCTATCTATGAAACTACTGTGAAATATGAAATCTTCACAGAAGAATTTTATGCACAAAAATAATAATTTGGAAAACAGAGTGTACTTCTATATTTCATTTAATATGATTCATTGCATTTCTTGAAATCTCACAAAGCTAAAATCTCCCCACCTAAGAGAAACATTTCAATATGCACTCCTGTGAATCAGCTCACTGTTTACTCGAGTTGGCCTGACCTGCCTCAGCAAGTTTATTTTCTGTGGTTTTGAAAATAGAATCTGGAAGACTGGCAGCATCAAACAATAATAAATATGTGTGCGAGGATATATAAAAAAGAGTTACAAACAACAGGAGAAGAAAATAAGGATATTATTTGCCTACCATTCTGCTATTTACTTCTAGCAGTTATCTAGATATTTATGCCATCTGCTTGTTGTATATAATGGTTTTGTGGCCTCCAAACAAGACCAGAAATTATGACTCTAGACGATCCAAATTGAAACCTTAGTCTTGGCACAGGATCTTGTGAAGTCTGCAGGTTACTCATTATCACCATACCTTGGATAACCTCATTTTTTTTTCTCTGATATACTCTCTGGACCTAACCATATAGATTTTTGGTGTTACGGTGTAATTGCACTAAAGAAGCTTTAAACCCTAACTCAGTGACTTTCGTCATTGAATTGTCCCACAGAAACCCTCCGTTCTTCATCTCAGTGCTGTTGATCCATTCTAGCCTCTTGGCCAATTCCTGTCTACTGTAAAGGAAATTGTAAATTCTGTATAAAATTGTATTCTATTTTGTATGCTTTGCTTATCAACACTATATTGCCAAATGAATTGGGACACTACTTCAAATCATTGGATTCAGGTGTTCCAATCACCTCCATGGCCACAGGGGTGTAAACGCAAACATCTAGGCATGCAGACTTCTCCTTCAAATATTTGTGAAAGAATGGGTCACTCGTAGGAGCTTAGTGAATTCAAGCGTGGCACCGTGATAGGTTGCCACCTGTGCAATACGTCCATCTGTTAAATTTACTTGCTACTAAATATTCCATGGTCAACTGTTAGTGGTATTATAACAGTGGAAGCAACTGGGAACAAAAGCAATTCAGCCACCAAGTGATAGGCCAGGTAAAATGACAGAGCGGGGTCAGCGCATTCTGAAGCATACAGTGTGCAGAAGTTGCCAGCTGTCTGCAGAGTCAATAGCTAAAGACCTCCAAACTTCATGCGGCCTTCAGATTAGCACGACAGTGTGTAGAGAGCTTCATGGAATGAGTTTCCATGGCCAAGCAGCTGCATCCAATCCTTACATCACCATGTGCAATGCAAAGTGTTGGATGCTGTTGTGTAAAGCACGCTGCCACTGGACTTTACAGCAGTGGAGACATGTTCTCTGGAGTGATAAATCACGTGTCTCTGTCTGGCAATCCAATGGACGTGTCTTTGGCGGTTGCCAGGAAAACGGTACTTGCCTGACTGCACAAAGTGTAAAGTTTGGCGTAGGGGGGATTATTGTGTGGGGTTGTTTTTCAGAGGTTGGGCTTGGCCCCTTAGTTCCAGTGAAGTGAACTCTTAAGTTGTCAGCATACCAAGACATTTTGGACAATTGTATGCTCCCAACTTTGTGGGAATAGTTTGGGGATGGCCCCTTCCTGTTCCAACATGACTGTGCACCAGTGCACAAAGCAAGGTCCATAAAGACATGGATGAGTGAGTTTGGGATGGAGGAACTTGACTGGCCTGTACAGAGTCCTGACCTCAACCCGATAGCACACCTTTGGAGACCTTTTTAGACCGGAGACTGTGAGCCAGGCCTACTCTTCTGACATCAGTGCCTGACCTCACAAATGCGCTTCTGGAAGAATGGTGAAACATTCCCATAGACACACTCCTAAACCTTGTGGACAGCCTCTCCAGAAGAGTTGAAGCTGTTATAGCTGCAAAGGGATATAGAAGTAAGACTGGGATGCCATTAAAGTCCCAATACTTTTAGCAATATAGTGTATTTGCACACTGCACTCATTGTGCACAAGGCACTAACAATATTTTCATTACATGTTTGCATTCTTTCACATCCTGATTAGAAATTAGCCTGCCCATGTAAAGCCCCTTGTTTCCATAAAAGTAAAACTGTAATATTAATGTGATACCTATGTAATCACAGCCAGGTGCCCACTGCGCATGAGCGAGAAACGCTGTGCTTTGTGAATGGCCCTGTAGTCTTCTGGGAACTGACAGAAGAATGTAGAGAGGGAGGGAGGACAACTTCCGCTTCCGATAGCCTTAAGTGATCGCAGCGGAAGTGGGAGCGGGTACCTGTCAAATTCGGGTACTCGCTCCCCAAAGGTGCCAATCCTTAATGGGGAGCAGGGAACAAAGACTTAAAATGGAACTTCCCCTTTTGGGTGGAGCTCCGCTTTAACATCATGAGTCTGTCTGGGATTACATAGGCAGACAGAAGGCAGCCTACATACACACAAGATCTGTGGTTAGTTCTCCAAGATGTTTGGAACAATCTGCCTGCCGAGTTTCTTCAAAAACTGTGTGCAAGTGTATCTAGAAGGATTAAAGACTTGATGCTGCTTTGAAGGCAAAGGGTGGTCACAGCAAATATTGATTTAAAAGTATTTCTTATATACTGCATTTTTTCACAACTGCCTAAGACTTTGTACATCACTTTATGTATATTTCTACAGTGTATCCTAACAGGTACTTACAGTACACTTATTATTTATTTGATATGTAGAAGACACAAAGTAACAGTAACAGTTTTGAGCATGCCATGCCCTTTTCAAGCTTTGTGAGCATAACAAACAGCATGGTATGCTTGAAATCATGTTGGTGTATTTTCGGCCTATCAAATAAACAATAAGACGTGTTCTGCAACCACCTGGGATTTCTATATATTGGAGGTGAAACGTGGGTTATCCTCCTGTTGCGCTGACACACTTTTGACCTCCAAGTTATGGGTACTGCGTCCTATAGATTATGTAAATGTATATAGCATATAGCGATCATCAAATCTTGCCAAACACAACTGCCATACAACCCAGCCCAGGAATTCTCTGCAATTCTCTGCTGGAGTTTTTGCGCCGGCTTTCATGCCACATCCATTGGTTTTCTGCCTGTCCTCAGATCAAGCAAGGTAATTGGACACTACCACTGAATTCCCCATAGACGTTACTGAAGTACATAAATATTACTACGGAGTAAGCTTAGCTTTGTATAGTACTTTACTACAGAGATGTAAAATGTGTTAGTAATTTGGCAAAATCAGGGGTACCTACATCTGTACTGGCATTTTCAAAAAGTAGAGGTAGTTATACATATATTTTTTTTTTCTGTCCTCTAAATGTTTTGATGAAATTTGCAAAGACATAACAATGTATATATATATATATATATATATATATATATATATATATATTTAGATTCATTTATAGTTTAAGTATCTTTCTTTGTCATATAGTAAGTCCAGAATCCTTAGTATCTTACAGTATAAATTTGGTTTTAATAAGACAAATCCTATTTACTTTTCTACTCTGATGGAAATTTTTTTAAAGAACTAATGTTTAATTTATGGTTCAGTATTTGCTGTAACTATTTAATCATTCCAGGAGGGGGGATATATGTCATGAAATTGATCTGTATGATTATCTGAAGTGAACCCACTCAAGGATGAAAAATACTTTTTGTCATTAAACTGACATTCAGTATAAACCTGATCCTAGCATATGCATATAATATTTGGACATCCCTTGTTGAGCATTTCAAAGCACTACACACCTTCTATGTGATAATAAGCATGTTCTAAGGAATAAGAAAAAGGAGTAAATGTTTAAAGCAACATTATTATGAAAATTAAAAAAAATAATAAAAATAAAAATAAAAAAAAGAGTCATTTTACTTATCTTTTCTACTGCTGTGGTAGTTGAAGAATCATTGCCATCTGACGCACTTCTGGGAGTGTTGGTTACCTGGTGCTCTTAAAATCTCCTAAAAGTGCGCTAGATGCTGAAAATGTTTCAACCAGTAAAAGTTCTGAAGAAGGTAAGTATCGAGCACAGGCAACAGGACTTTAGGCTTTAGCGGACTTTCCAAGTTACTGAACAACACAAACAGCGCAAAATAATTTGTTATAGTGCTAAATCACAACTTATATTAAAAAAAATTATAAATATTAACAAAATAAATATTACTAGAAAATAAAGTCCCACTCCAAAATAAGTGAAAAAATGATAAGTGAAGAAGTTGAAAAAAATCCTTAGAAACTCAGAAAGTCCAGACTGTGAAAATGCCCTGTGGGAAGGGCGAAACACGTAGACGCACTTCCGGTTCCGCCGTCCTATGGACTACGTCACTTCCGGTGAGTGGAACACACACCGGCGTGCTGCGTTCCTGTGGGCCATCATTTGTATGGGAGATTCTCTATGCTGCCATCTGGTGCTGACTGTGGGATCTCTGGAAACTATCCTGGAATTGTGACGATTGTGGATTCATCTTATGCAATTAAAATGCTGGTTTTTATCTTAAAAAATGTGAGTGGCCTGGTACTTGATTATTGAAATAACCAGGTGTTGCAGTATTACACTATGTCATTTTGTTTTTCCCTACATCATACTGAGTATTTCTGGAAAGTGGAGTCTGGTGGTCTTGGAGATTGGAGGAAAGCTTTCCTTTGGTGGAGTGGAGATCTGGAGGCATATTATAAGGGTCTAGGATCCCATAAATACCTAAAAGGCATTTTTTTCACCAAAATCTGGTGAGTGCGGTATATAATGTTTGAGCACTGATTTTTGGTGGAAGCACATTTCTCTGGAAAAGGGACTTTGAGTTTCTAAGGATTTTTTTCAACTTCTTCACTTATCATTTTTTCATTTATTTTGGAGTGGGACTTTATTTTTTAGTAATATTTATTTTGTTAATATTTATAATATATTTTTTCATATAAGTTGTGATTTAGCACTATAACAAATTATTTTGTGCTGTTTGTGTTGTTTAGACTTTTTGGTGTAGGTTTACACTGATGTACAGCAGCATTTAATTTATTTTATTTTTGTTTTAATTTTGGCGCTGGTGATTTATGTTCATATATTTCCAAGTTACTGACCCAGAACAATTAAGCAGATCAGGATTTCAAAGGCTGCTCTGAAAATTTGGAAGCCAGAGAGAGCTAGGTAACTAGTATAGATGAAGGTCTACACAAGCAACCTATGTATTTCTCTCCGTATAGGCTTCCTTTAATGTGAAACTTCCAGTTATAAAATAATAAAGTATAATAAAGCATAGCATTTAGGATCAGAGAGAGATTTATGATACCCGTGAAGTGAATGCATGGAATTAAAGTACAGTAAATCCTTTGAGATTGCCATATCTCTAACGAGTGATGATAAATCTCTTTAAGGAACAATGTTATCACAGGGAGCGAGCTGCAAATATCTTGGGGCTCATGAAGGCTTTCTTCAACTTTCCAAACACATGAAAATGATTTGAAGGATTTGTGAGAAATGTATTTTGTGTTGTATTTTCAATGGCTCTCATCCTCCTGCTGTGCTACGGCACACATTTTTGTGGCAGAAGAAGATCCTCCTGAGACGGAAATATAATTTGCTTACAAAAATGATCTATGGATTATTCCAAACATAGGCATAGTTGAAATAATCAGCATTCAAAAACATAAGTAAACAGCAACAGAATTAAAACAATGTATTTTAGCTAAACTAATCAAATCCTCCACTTCTGAAATACAATAGGACTTTTTGATTTGATGTCAGTTATGAATAATTCAGGAAAAATTTAACTAAAACGCTGAATAGCCATATAAATAAAAGTATACGTTGAGAAAAGCATTTTGGAGCTGGGTTTACATACAGTATTTATTATCAGGCTGTCCAAAGATATATTGTAAGTAATGATTCCAAATACACAAAGGTTATAGTACACCACAGAACCAGTGTCTTTGGTGAAACACATCTAAATATGCTAAAGAGTCATTCACTGTCCCAAAAACTGGTAATAATAATGATAATAATGCTCCATGTTTTGATGAAATGTGTAGCGCAGGAGGTGTTCAAATACTGTTCTGCTGAGAAGCTCCAAAGCATTGACAACTATAGTCTAGTAGGCAAGCGTTGAACTAGAAAGCAACTAACATTTTGGTGCAGTGGTTCTTCTGAAAAAAGTTCAGTTAAGCTGGCCAAAATTTGTACAAAAAGTCTCAGTACATTAGATTATTTCATGTATTTTGTTCAAAAGCACTTCAAAATTTGGTTTGCGTTTAACATTTGATTTTGGAGTGAATGGACTCTCCTGAATGAAAACCACACCCACTGTTCTTTTTTTCGAAAGAAAATTTCCATACAATTTGCTCATC